CGCCAGGGACCCTTGGCACGGACACAGCTGGCTCCTGGCTCCGCTTTCCAACCAAAAGCCAATCCGCGCTCGAGAAGGGAATTCTTGGGACAGACCAGGAACAGAGGGAGCATCGCTATCCCTGGTGAGCGCACTTCTCCATTCCTCTGCCCCAGGTTTATTTATTGGCAAAATCGGCAGATCCTGCCATCTCTTCTGTAATTCAAGGCTTTTTGTCAGAGTTGTATTAAGGTCTTCGCATACTATAAAAGTCAACACTTTAAAGTACTCAATTCAGTGGTTTTTAGTTTACTTGCAGAGCTATAAAACCACTATCGTATCTAATTTTAATAATTTAGTTCCTCCCAAAAGGACCCCCAGATCTACCAGCAGTCTCTTTCCACACCCCCATGAGTCCCTGATCTATTTGCATAGCTATGAATTTGCCTAGTGTGGACATTTGGTGTAAACTGACTCCTACAAGATGTGCTCTCTTATGTCATGTTTCAATCACTTAGCACAGCGTTTCCAGACCCGTTCAGCTGTACTATGTACCAGTACTTCTCTTTTTCACTGCTGAGCAATATTCCATTTTATAGACATACCACAGCTTTGTTTATCCACTCATCAGTCTTTGGGTGGCTGGTTGTTCCACCTTTCTGTTGCTGTGAACATTTGCATACAGTTTTTTGTATGGACTCTTGTTTCCAACTCTCTCAGGTCCATACTTAGCTGTGGAGTTGCTGGACCCAGTGCTAACTCTGTTATCTCTACCTGCTCCTGCTGTCATTTTTATTTTTAAAACAATACCCTCCTCCGATTTTCAAAGAATTATCCTTCTTATTTGCATGCATTTCTCATTCTTCTTCCTAAATTCTCCTCTTTCTCCTAAAGTTTTCATTGTCAGACCCTGACTTCATTTTCTAGACTGATGAATGTAAAGCCCCTGTGTGTTCCAGCTCCCAACCATGAGTCTTCAATGGCATCTTCTTCCTGCTGACTTGATTTCTCTTTTATGACACCACGCTTCCTTTACTGTGGAGGATCTGAAATCTCTTTTTGATTTATTTATTTTTATTTTTTAAAGTTTTTTATTCAGACAGGATGTCACTATGTAGTTCAGGCTGGCCTTGAACTCACTGTGTAGAATGCATAATGGCCTCTAACTTGTAGCGACCCTCCTGCCTCAGCCTCCCGAGTGCAGGCATTACAGGTATGGGCCACCAAGCCCAGCTGAAATCTCTACGTGACTGTCTTGGTGATGTTCCTTAAATTCTTTGTCCTACATCTCTAGGTGTTCTGCCTTCTCCGTGTCTTGCCCCAAGTTGTATCCAGCCCCGGGGATGGAGCCCGGCAGGCCCCAGTCCAGATGCAGACCCCCAGGGCTACCTGGAGCTCAGCCTGCCGGGCTCCTCCTGCTGTCATCTCAGCAGGGCCTGCATGGTTTATAGTTCAACCTCTCCTCTCGTGTTGGCTGCTTCTCTTTGACAAAGGGGACCCTGAGGTCGCTGTCTTCCCATCTGCCTTCTGCCTGCACCCTAACAAACAGTCCTCCAGGTTCCCACACAATGCTGATGTGGGTTTCCATGGAAACCCGGGAGCGGGCAGGCGAGGTGAGAAGCTGTGTACACCCATCATCTGCCAGAAATCCCCCAGCCTTTCTGCATAGCCTGCCGCAGTGGACTTGCCGACTGCCCGGCCCTTCCAGTCTCCTCTGTTCCTCTGGGGCACCACACTGCTCTGGCTGCCTGTTGTCCTGTGAGGTCCGGAGTGGCCACATGGTCACACTCTGACCAACAAGATGCAGGTGAGAAGGAGGGTGGATGGAAGTTTCTAGGAAGGTTGCTCAAAATGAGTTTCCCAGCTAAAAAGACCTTTTCACTGTCACTTTTGTTTGGCTTGCAATGCAATGCAATGGCAGGCGCTCCCACAGCCACCTTAATCTATGAGGACATAAGCCACGTGTTAGTGGAGGGCAGAAGTGTGCTAGGTACGGCACACCCCAATGGCACCGAGAGCTGCCACACACCTCGGCCCAGCCAGTTACTGCAGGGCTCCTTTGATGTTCGTGAGAAAGAAAGACACTTCTACGTTATTTGTACCATTCTACTTTGCTTCAGGAAAATCAAAGTTAACCTGAGGCTGACCACTACAGTCTGAGGTGTGTCTATCGGAGCCGGTGTGCTCCAGCTTTGAGTGCACATGCAAGATTTCAATCGCCTCCGCCTGCATCTGGAATACCAACTAAACACCAGCTCATTCTGTTACCTGAGCATATTCATTCAAAGTGAAATATATTAGTTATGGTGAACGGGAAATCAGTACTGCAGTGCTGAATGAACGAAGAGGGATTCCCTCGCAGCTCTGCTCTCCTGCCCGCCTCCCAGCGACCGGGAAGGAACTGACGCTTTAAAGCCTCGGTCCCCTAAGGGGCCACAGCCTGCCTGCGGAGCTGTCGCTGTCACCAGGTTCGCCCACACCCATGCGGTGCCCCAGTGTCCTCGGCGGCCTCTGTGGTGAGCTTCGGGACGCATGCGCGTCCACAGGGAGGGTGGCAAAGAGATGACGGCGTGGCTCTGGGCTCGTGCTTATCTGAGCGACGTGATGCCTTTGTGAGCAAGAGGCATTTGAGGAGGAATCACAACCGGTGACCCTCTGCTCTGGACACGTGCCGGAGAGGCCTGGTGCAGGCAGACCTGCGGGCAGGGCAGGTTCACTCGGTAAAGCTCCGGGGATGCGGTTCCAGCCCCAGACTCCTTCCAGGCGGGAAGACGCACTTCCAAGGAGATGGGAGCCCTCCGGCTCCAGGTGTCTCCTACTCCCAAGGCTGCACCTGTCACAGCCCCTTCAGTTCCTCAGTACCGCCCTCCACCCCACCCATGGTGGACTGCGACCCTCTCCTGCCTCTCCTTCGCATCCAGATGACATCGGGCTCGGCTTCTAGGAGAAGCCCTCTGGAGAGGGCAGGAAGTACTTATGAGGCCGCACTCGCAAGAGCGCCCTGCGTGAGGCGTCTTCCCTGAGCCCTAAGGAAGCGGCCCGGCCCTGCCTCAGAACCCGAACGTGGGAGGCTGATCTTTGGCTCTGCAGTTATCGGGAGACAGAAGTGAAATGGAAAGTTCAGCAGTGAGGAGAACAGCTGAAAACGTTAAAAAATACATTTTGGAAATCTCTCTTTCCTTCTGTACATCTTATCACGTAGGTAACACATGCACACAGTGAAAACTCTAATGGCCCACAGGACTCGCTTCCAGCAGAGAATCACCTCGGCCTCCCCCGCTTCCCGCTCCGCCCCTGGGAATCACAGCGGCCCTGTCCCTGTCCCCTTCTGGGACTCTGCTCATGACAGTCCCCCTCCCCTGTGTTTCCCCACACGGAGCTCCCAGGGACCTGCTGCACACCTTCCTGTGCTGGACAGGTATGCTGCAGACCACTGGGGACGGCCCTGCCAAGTCTGGATCCTAACCGGACACGAACAGTGGCACAACCCCTCCCAGAATGTCATTAACAAGCACTCATGGGCAGCCCTGTGGCTCAGGACACAGCTACCACAAGAGCTGACTCCCAAGCACAGCAGCTTCCGGTCCGATTTCCTCTTTAGGCACAAGCCTGTCAGTGCAGGTACCCATCAGCACGCGAGCACTCACGCTCAGACAGGCATGCATGCACACGCGTGAGCTGACAGGGCTAGATCACATGCACACACAATACGCATTTCTTTGTGCACTCACGCCTATAACATATCACAGACACGGCTGTGTGTGCACACGTGTGTGTGTGTAAACTTGCCTCCACCATCTGGACCCGCAGTAGTAACCTGGTCTCAGAACCCAGCTGGGGCCAAGAAAGACTCTCCCTGTGCGTGGCGTCAGGGCCCCGGGCCTTTCAAGGGAGCACCTGGCTACTCCACAGAGGGGCCTCTCTCTGAGACGGAAGAGAACAAGCAGGCAGTTCCGCACGCGTGCCTCTAAAGACGCTCTCTCTGGGCCGCCGGGTTCTCCAAGCCTGGAGTTGGGAGGTCCACGTGGAACATTAGCCTACACGGTAACAGGTGGGGAGGGACCACCCTTGGAAGGTTCTACTCTTCCTCTCCATCCCTAGGACGAATGTGATTAATTCTTAATCAGAAATCCAACAGCAAAAAGAAAAATTAGACTGTTCAGTGGTTCAAATCCCTTACATTTCATGAACACTAACTGCTACTACTCATAATCCATGCCAGGAGACAGAAAAACAAAAGCACACGAGAAAATAAAAGTGTACTGGATCAGACCTTTCCCCTTAATTAGCCTCTTCTTCTGGGAAAGAACCAAACGGTCCTTCCCTCCACCCATCCACCCATCCATCCACTCACCCGATGTCCATGCATCCACCCATCATCCAGCTGTCCTTCTGCCCATCTGCCCGCCATTCTGTCTGTCCCCTTTAGAAGCCCTGCTGAGCCAGCACCTCATTTCCTCCAGCAGGCGTCAGCGGGGTCAGCCCGTGCCTGTGAGCATCGAGTTCCCCATTCTCGGCATCGAGGGAAGGACTCAAACACAGGCATCCCTCTCCTCTGCTCTGCTCTGCTCTGCTCTACCAGTGAACCTTCGAGAAAAAGAACTCCTCAAAGCCGGGCCACGGGAGGGCGGGCGCAAACCAGCTCTGCTGCAGCCTGGCTCTCAGCTCCAGTGCTGCACACGGGGCTCAGAGGGGATTCAGATCAAATCCTCCCGAATGGGTTTCAAGTGCTCCTTAGTAATGAACCGAGGAAAACAAGTAATAGCCATCAGTGAGATTCACTACCTCTGTATTTATTAAAGAATGGAAAATCAAAATACTTTCCCAACACTGAGCTATGAAGTTAGAGCTGCATTCTCGAAGTCATGTGTTACACAGGTAGAGCCATCCTTCCATTACTGCTCAAACTCTCGGTAATATCAGGAGCAAATATAAATCCAAGAGTGGCAAAAATATGTGACCATCCGGAGCAACGAAGCTGCCTGCGCCGCTGACAGGCACAGGCCCGGGCCGGGACTCACCCGCTCGCAGAGGCAGCAGACTTCCTGTGGCACAGGATGACGGCGGGGGCGTACTTCCCGGTGTACTCCGGGCTCTCCTTGACGTCCCAGGTGGAGGGGCTGCTGGCCCTCACCCCAACGATGCTCACACCCTTCTTCACCTTGGCCCTGTGGGGACAGGAAGTTCACATCTGAGACAGTGCTGGGCACCGGGTCGTCGCGGAGGCTGGGAACTTGGTGACCTCCCTCGCACTCGGCCGGGAGCTCATGCATGCTGGGATTCAAGAGCAGATTTTCAGTCACCTTCCAACCCATTTGTGCTACTCTCCCCATCTATGCCCACCCTTAAACAGGAGCAGTGCAGGGGCCTGGCCGTGAGCAAACAGCGGCTACATATGGAGATGAGTGGCCTCGTCCTAGTTTACACCACTAATTAAAACACAAAGCAAAGGTCTCCCTGAAAAGCCTTGCTCCAGAAATCAAACAGTACAAGCACATAAGCCAAAGTGCAAAACCAAGTTTCCAACACGGATGCACCTTCAGGAGGGGCTCTCGTGTGCCGGGCCCTGGGGAGCCCTGCCTGACCTAATGTCCCATCCTCTGAGGTGTCCCAGCTCAGGACAGGGACCCAAAGCTGGGACAGGTGCAGGATGCCAGCTAATTATGTCCCAGTTCCCTCACAAGGGCGCTATGCGGGCAGGATGTGGCACTCCAGGGAGTCCCACGCAGCCCCTGAGCAGGAGAGCAGGACGAAAACCCAGGCAGGACGGTGCCTGGCGCTGCCCCGGCTTCCAAGGAAACACCCGCCCGGCACCAGAGCTGATGAACGCGGCTCCACACACCCTCGGCGACGCTGCACTGCTGCACTGCACAGCCGAGTCCTGGTGCCCGGCCGCCCAAGCTCTGGGGAAAGCAAATTCACCGAAGTGAAGTGCGCGTCCGCTCCAGGTGCAGCCCCCTTCATCTCACCCTTTCTTCTGTTTTCTTTCCTTGTCTCCTCTCCTTTCCTCCTGTTCTCCTTTTATTCTATCCGTCCTTCCGTCCTCCATGTCTCTCTTTCTTCTTCCCTCCCTTCCTTCCTTCCAGCCCCGTGGAAGCGGACAGATGCCACCTGCACAGGTCTTTCCTCCTTGCTGGAGGAAGAAGCCCAGGATAATTCACTCCCTCGTGGGCCCTTCCCCTTCTCTACAAAACTTCAAATGACAGGGCACAGAGGCAGCGAAAGCCTATGGTAAAAAGTCAAGGCAACAGTGCGCACACTTGGATTTACAAACTGGCCCGTATGCTGGGAAAAACCATGACTCCTGATGTGCTTTCTCTCTTCCGTCCCTTGGGGATAGGAAGAGTCTGGAAGCCTGCAGGCTGAGGTGCCTGGAAAGAAGCTAGAGGAGAAGTGGGGCCCCGTGTGGCGGGGCACCCCCAGGCTTGCCGCTGCTGCGTCTACGCCCACACGGACAAGGGCACAGGGCTCCGGCCTGCACCCCTAACCCCTCAGTAGCACAATCAGAGGAGATGAGCAAGGCCACCCCAACATCAGGGCGAGCGGGGCAGAAAGCGATGCCCTCATTCCCGCGGGCATGCAGAAGAGAGGGAACAGCCTCCCCTGACCGAGAACACCGTTCTCCACACGGTTTTGCACCTTACTGAACAGCAGAGAGCTGCCGCAGCTGGTCACAGAGTCTGGATGCCCTCCGCGTCCCCTGTGGGGGAAGGTGACTGCACCCAGAGTGATGCGCTCTGCACAGACTCACCGCCTGCTACGCAGTGGGGTCTGGCCAGAGGCCGTGGCAGGGAGGCGCATTCTCGCCCCGCTCCATCTCCTCCCTCGTCTCTCTGCTTCCCGGCCAACACAGGGTGAGCACCGAGTCCTCCCCCTGTCCCCTTGTCCCTCCCTTGAGACCAGTGCGCCTCTGCGAAGCAGCCAGTGCCTGAGACAGGCCCGGTCTCCCTAGCCAGGTTGCCGGCAAGCTTGGCCAGGGCTGGCGTCGGGACCTGGGATTTCGGGGGTGCTCCCACCATGCCCTAGCTGTGAGGGACCCACTGTGCCCCAGTAGCACCTGCTGGGCAGAGGGTGCCATGTGGGGTCCACAGTGCAAGCCTGGGCCCCGGCACATGCCATGGGGCTCCCGGGGGCAAAGACTCTGGGGCTGGCATGACCCAGGCTCTGGGCTCCTCCCGGAGTCCGTCTCAGCAGAGCACGCTGCTCAATGCCGAGGCTGCTGGCTTTCTGGGGACCTGCTGGGCCTGGGGGTGGCCCGGGCAGCCCAGACACACACCCTGACTTGAGCGGTCCACACGGTCAGAAGGAAGCGCTTTCATTTCAGAAAGTGATCATCACATACAGCATCATTTCATAGGGGGAAACACGCCTGTGTTTGAACAGTAGTGTACAAGGGAATATTTGGCACGCAGCCATTTCTAAACTGGGAATTTGGGGCATGGGTCAGAGGTCTCCTGACCTTCTGGATGCTTGGTGAAATGTTCAGAAAAACAAGCTGTGGCTACTGCTTTGCAGAAAGTCAAGGAGAGGTAGGCAACCGAGATGTGCGGTAAAAAACATTCATTTGTCATGGATAGACTCTTATAATAAAATGGATTCTAAGGCATCCCCATTACAATTCACCAGAATGATATTGAATCAAATCTGCCTTAAATAAGTAGGTCAACCACCTGCCCTGGAAATCTTTTTATGACACAGAAGATATCAGTACCTAGGCCCCTTTGGAAATACAAGGGGCTTATATTTTTCTTAAATGTTATATCTACATGGGTTGTTCAGAATTTGGATAATGTTTCTCCAGTGAATGGTTTTCCAGTAGTTAAGAAAGAACACAGTTGCTTCTTGAACCCATGCCGTACCCAACGCTTGCTGCTAACAATTCTATTGTGGCTACGTGAAGCTATCATTTATAGCATTCTTTCTTTTCTTTTTCTTTAAAGTTTTACATTTTTATGAGTCCATGTTGGCAGTACAAGATGACTGCACTCATCGTGGGGAGCTGGTGTGTGTTCACGACACAGCCTCTGTCCTTACCTCCCTTTGCGCCTCTGTGCCCCACCTCTCCCTAAGAGGAAACCCTTCTGAGCTGGGAACTGTGCTCCTCAGTCAGCACACGTTCCTGGGAGCAGGCACCTTGCCTGGCGAGCAGGTGGGGTCCAGGGAGAAGGGCTCGCTAGGGTCCACGGTGTCATGTGGGCACCAAGAAGGGTGGCAAGGGAGGAGCCGGGCACTCACTCACACTCACTAACCCGGCCCTGCAGGGGGTCATCATTCTGACATACTCGTCCCGGAGCCCAGAGCGGTACTGCCGGACACAAGGGCAGTTCTCAAAACTCGTGCAGATCGGCTCCTCAGGGTCTGAACCAAATGCTAATTTCTCCTTTGTTTATGACAACTGAGCTACTTCCAATCATTAACAGAAGTTTTATATCCTACTTGTGGTTCAGTAAATACAGGTTATACTGACAGCCTCATTAGGCAGAGATAAACAGAGCACTTGATTTCTGAAGACACTTCGCTGAGGATTTACATTTGACAATACATCTACCTCGGTGATAGGAGGAAAAGCTGTTAATTGTCCCCACAGTGTGGGCGCGTGGGGCGGACTGGTGCACAGAAACCCACTTGGGCTGAGCAGTGCACTGTGTCTGCAAAGCATGACAGAGCGACAGCTGCTCAACAGATGTACACACACATATTACACACGTGTGTTTCATGCACATAGCATGTGTGAAATGCACACACGCAGCATCAGGAACACAGCAACACACTGGGCACAGCTAGGAACCTGCGTACAGAATTGAGGTGTCCGCACCCCGATTTGGCTTCCCTGATCTGGCCCTCTGTCACTCTGGCCCCCGAGCGTGGAACTGCAAGTCCAGGGCTTCTCTCCTCTACCTGGCTACGAGAGCCCAGCCAGGCCGCCCAAAGCCGCCTGCTGGAGTTTAATCCTAGGCAAGGAGGCTTAGCAAAAGGAAAGCGGGCAGATGCAGCCCACCTGTGGCCTGGTCACACTGTGTCCCCTCTGGTCCTCTAGAACTAGCTCATGCAGGGCTCCCACCTCCCACCAGCCCCTTCTCTAACGAGCTGGAGGTTTTGCAATCAAGGGGGGCTGAGCTGCTGTGACCTGGACCCCGACACCAGGTCTCCCCCTGGGCAGGAGGAACTGTGCCCGTCGCTCCTGGGGATCCTCACTGCTGGCGTTCCAGGCCACAGTCACACAGGGATCAAGGCCAAGGGGGCCCTGCCTTTTGCAGCCATGGCTTTGCTGTCCAACAGCTGCCATCGAGGGGGACGAAAAAGATCGAACACCACGAGTGGCTTGTGCATGGGGGAGTCCCCATGTCCCCATGAGAGAAGCCCAGAAAGTGGGCAGTATGGCCTGCATGGGTGTGACCCAGGGAAGGTGTGGCCTGCAGAGGGCGTGGCCTCAGAAAAGGGTGGCATGGGAAGGTGTGGTCTTGAGGAGGGAGTGGCCTGGGAAGAGCAAAGGGGAAGGGGGTGGGGCCAGAGGTGGGTGTGGCCCGGAAGGAAGGGTCCGCCTGGGGAGGGTGTGGCCTCAGGAATGGTGTGAACTGCAGCGTGGCCTGGGAGCAGTGGGCATGGCCAGGGAGTGTCATGACCTGGGGTGTGGCTGAGGGTGTGGCCGGGTGGGCGTGGGCTCCCTGAGGCCTCGCCCGCCATGCTCAGAGGGAGTGAGCAGTGGCCCCAGGAGCCGGATTCCCTGAGCTCTGTGGGCAGCAGGCCACCACCCTGCCTAAAACCCTCTCCCGTGAAGCTCACACTGCAACGCCTCTCAGCGCCAGGACTCTTGCATCCCAGCCAGGCTCCTGAAGCCTCTGCACCCGGGGCTGTCCTTGACACAGTCCCGCAGGCCAGGAGCCTTCACGTCCTGTGCTCTTTCCAGCCGGCAAACAGACCCGGAAGGGCGGTCTTCTGATCAGTCCTGACTCCAGAAAGTCAAGTGTTCTGATTGAGTGAGTGATTTAATCAGTCAATCAATGAACCCACACAGATTTAAGAGGAAGAAAGCAAAGTCACTCAAAGTTCCATCCCATCAAACCTGAGCTGGCAGTACTTCTGTCAGCATTCTTCTATGTCCTTTGTTCATGCCTATACTATAATTTTAGGTAAATTGGTTCATATCCAGGACTGCTACACAACTTGT